AATACAGAAATCAGTTATAGTGGAATTATGCATAAACGAGTTTTCGAATCGAAAAGAAATCGAAAAATGATATTTATATTGGAATTAACTGTAAATTATGAATAAGCAAATGCGCGAATACCAGAGCGTTGTAGAGTGAGAGGGAGTGTACGTGTAAAACAAAGGAAAGAGAATGAAATGAAAGAACAAGAAGAAATAAAGAAAAAACAAATGATTGTCCAGCCGCCTATATTAATATATTATATTAAATATACAAATCGTAATTCTAATAATGTTTATGGTAATGCGTAAGAGTGACTCGGCAGATAATTATTATTTTAAAATAAACAATGCCCAAGGTAATTACTTAAATGCCACACTGTATTTATAATGAAATCCAATAAAGATAATAACTATTATATTTTCTTTATTCACTCACTTGCTCGTATTTATAGTCGGCAATTGTAATTCATGATGGTTTTTTTTTCTGTAAAGGACGACTCATCAATCGCAAGGACTCATATGTTGTAAAATACACTGATAATTCGAATTACTACTATAAAAAAAAACTATTTAAAATTCAAAATTTAGCGATTCTTTCAATGAGATATAATACAAAGTGTGTTCAAGATTTCTCAAAAAAGTAACAATTTTATGCAATTAACTGATTTTTTTAAATTCGCTTTTATATAAAATACGACTTACAAAATTTTAAGTGAAAGAAACAGGAACTAATTGATGTTTTTTTTTGCGTTCATTTTATTTTGATCTACTCAATATTATCCTTTACTTATTGGTTATTTGTTGAATCTTAATGTTATATCTAGTTGCTTATGTCGCTTCAATCTCTGGATTGTTAGGTTATTGTCAAGAAGATTGACAGCTAATATGTTTGGATGTCTATCTAGACTATTTTGGAATCGTCTACTGTTTTTCATAAGTGTTTAATGAAATTTGCATTAGAAGTATGCGTTTTGGATAAAGGACCAAGTTGCGCGGATTTAGGAAGAAATCGTTGGGGTTTCACGAACTATTTTTCGCGGTGGTAACTTAAGAATCATCTTCTCCATGCTTAACTCCTCGGAGCTTTTTTCGGCAACTTCAGGTGTGTGGCAACAATGTCCACCTTTTACAACCACTGCTATTCGCTGTTAAAGTTACGACTCAATATTTTTTTTACTCAAACACATTTTAAATTTACTTTATTTGATGATTCTTTCAACAAGAAGTTATGAAATAAAGAGTAGTAAAGATTTCTAAAAAAAAGTTGTTGAATTGGTGAAGATCTTATGGATCTAATTGATTTGTTTCTGTTCGATCTTAGAAAAATGTATGAAAAAAATATTTTATTCGCTGTTAAAGTTACGACTGAATATTTTTGTAATTAAATACGTTTAAAAATTACTGTATTTGATGATTCTTTCAACAATAAGCTTTAAAATAAAGAGTGGTAAAGATTTCTAAAAAAAGTTGTTGAATTGGTGAAGATCTTATGGAACTAATTGATTTGATTCTGTTAGATATTGGAAAAATATATGAAAAACATTATTTTATTCGATGTTAAAGTTAGGACTGAATATTTTTGTACTTAAATACGTTTTAAAATTACTATATTTGATGATTCTTTCAACAATAAGCTTTAAAATAAAGAGTGGTAAAAATTTCTCAAAAAAAAGTTGTTGAATTGGTGAAGATCTTATGGAACTAATTGATTTGTTTCTGTTCGATCTTAGAAAAATGTATGAAAAAAATTATTTTATTCGCTGTTAAAGTTAGGACTGAATATTTTTGTACTTAAACATATTTTAAATTTACTTTATTTGATGATTCTTCCAACAATAAGCTATGAATTAAAGAGTGGCAAAGATCCCTAAATAATTCTTAAAGTGATGAGGATCTTTTGAAATTGAAATAATTTATAATTTATACATCGACTTAAGACATTCTATTATGATCTGTTTTTCTGCTCAATTACATTCAATTATTTCAATACAAGAAACAAAAAATGTTAAATTTTTTTGAAAAGTTGTTTAAGTTGTGAAAATCACATAAAAGTTTGAAAAATCTAATTTTTCTTTATTTAAAAAAATAATGATAAATCAATTAATATTGCTTCAAATCTTGATTTAGACGATGAAAATGTCTTCAGATTTTGTCAATTAACACTAATAGAGATATTATAATATGATTTTGAGGAAACTGAAAACTCGGAAATTCTACAAACTTTAGCCAGCATAAAAGGAAATAAATCACATTTAAATATTACATCAATACCTCGCAAAGTGCGGATTCGATCAGTACGGATTCACTATCATATATTTATTTGCATAGAATGAACAATATTGCAATTTTACTGGACATTTCTTACCTATCCAACATTCGCAATTAATGAATATAGATTTATTGATTTTGCTGTTTCCTACTTACCTTTTAACTATTTCAATTACGTAATCTATATTATAAATTAACATTTTTAAATTGAACTAACAAAATAATAACTAAATTTAATTAAGTAAATATACAAAAACTATAAAATCGCACATAAAACTAGTATACTTCACCTTGTTTTCCTCTTGTTTTTTTTCTTCTCTCGTTCTAACTACGTCAGGTTTGTCGATTAGATCTGCGCAAGAAATTCCAAGGTTGCTTTTACGATCCTTCCTGGTTGTTTTCGTTATTTCATTCCTTCTCTCTTCTTTTACTATGTCGCTAAAAATTACGTTCTTCGACATTTTTTGAATACATTAAAATCGTAAATATTTGTTGCTCTTCAAGAAATTGCGTCTGTTTTTTTTTCTAGTTACGAAAACAAAGCTATTGAACTCTGAAAAAAATTACGTCGTTGTATTGAACCAATGAACTCATTAAGATTAAATTTTTGTTCGAAATCGATGTTTTTTTTATATTAACGTGAAGTAATTATGATTAGTTTTCATTCTTGTTTCGTTTCGTGGTGTAATTATCCGGTTGATAATGAAGAAATCAACAGTCGGAAAGAATTCGTGGAAGAGATTGGGTTGTTTCCATTGTTTTTTTGGTATGTTAAAAGACTGTTAAAGACAATGTAAAGTAGAAATGTGAATGTTTACAAAAAAAATAAATGTAAATTTTAATTATTTCAGAAACTATAGTTGAATGATCGATATTTCAATAACAACTTTTTCATGAATATTTATGAGAACAAAAATTTTCATTTAAAAAGTGTATTTTGATAACGACTTGTTTTCATTTATAATCACTGCAATTAATATATTAAAAAAATCGTGTAATTATATAATTTTCTACATTTTTTTTTCGTGATTTTTGTAACAATATTAAAAAATGTATTTTTTAATAAATACATGAAAAGTATGTTAAAATTTAAAAAAAAAAGTAAAAGTCGTAGGTAAATTTTTAGAATCGTTTTAAAGTTTTTAAACGTAATTAAGTTTTGATTCATTCATTCGGAAAGTAATTTCGTTTTTTGTAACTATAGTCGCAAACTATTTTCATTACCAAATAAAAATAATTGTTTTGTCCACATTTGTCCACAATTTGAAAAAAGTTAAAATATTAAAAACTGAAATATTTCTGTTAAACTGAATAAGAAAGTTATGTTTTTCAGCAATAGTAGAATGCAAACTATTTTCAATTCTAAAGAAAAAATAGTTTAGTCCACATTTGTCCACAATTTGAAAACTTTTTTTCAAAATTTAAAAAAAAATGAGAAATTTAACAACTGAAACATTTTTGTTAAACTGAGTAAGAAAGTTATGTTTTTCAACAATTGTAGAATACAAACTACTTTCAATTCTAAAAAAAAAATAGTTTTGTCCACATTTGTCCACAATTTGATTTTTTTTAATTCAGAAATAAATGAGAAATTTATCAACTGAAACATTTTTGTTAAACTGAGTAAGAAAGTTATGTTTTTCAGCAATTGTAGAATGCAAACTATTTTCAATTATAAAGAAAAAATAGTTTTATCCACATTTGTCCACAATTTGAAAACTTTTTTTAAAAATTCAAAAAAAAAAAACAATGAGAAATTTAACAACTGAAATATTTTTGTTAAACTGAATGAGAAAGTTAGGTTTTTTCAGAAATTGTAAATAGTTTTCAGTTTTTAATTCGTCAGTCTGGAGATTCGTTTTACGGTTAAATTATCGTACGGAGCGCAGCCGAACAGATTTGGAGCAGAATCGGATTTTATGGGCCGTAAAACCACGAAATTGTAGAAGAGGCGAAAGAAAAATATGTCTGAGAACGAAAGCAAAACAAGATTCGTCTACGCACAAGAAAGAAAAAAAACTTTACAAATCTAATTCGAGTGTTCAAAAATTGAATCGAAAAGACTGAATTATCTTGTTTGCTCGATTGAAATGTTAATCAAATCTTAATGATGTCTCTCAAGTGGTTCGAATCGTTTCAGTCGTTAGGTTGTTAAGCTGTTGTCAAGTAGATTTATAGATGAAAGATTTATGCGGTATTAAATTATCTAGTAGCTATAAGCTACCGTTTCCTTTGATAACTTCTTTTAATGTTTCAATTTGAATACCAACAAAAAAATTGTTAGTCTTTTCATATTTACAACTTTTCTAAATCTTCTATTCTGTTGCATTTTTACGTTCCTTCCAAATCTTGATTTCATAAAATAATTATTCATAATTAATTAACTTCTATACTCAAATTTTATATGAAAATAATAAAAAAAAATTGTAAATGTTAGGAAATAAATAAAGTTATAAGACATTAATTGAAAAGTTCAAAAAATAACTAAAAATATTAAAAATTAAGCAATAATAATCTAAAGCAGATCACAAAAGTTGAAATTCATTTGTCAGATTTAGAAAACGTCAAAAAAAAAACATAGATTAAGTTGATTCCTTTTGTTACTATCGAAATGTCAAAATGAAACATAAAATTTTAATAATTAAAGAAATAATGATTATGTAAAGTCAGTCAAAATTTTTCAATTCATTAAAAGTTAAAAAAAAAAAGGAAACACATTTAGTATTAAAAATATCTTTTATTTCTTGTATATAAAAAAACATGCAACAACAAAGAAACTGTTACCTGTCAGACTAAATAAACTTAACTTAAACTTAAGTAGGTGTGAAACGCGCGCTCTTGTTCATTTATTTTCTTCTCTCTTCGTCCTTTTTCTTGTTGTTTTTTTTTTCTTTCTTTCTAAGTGACGAAGCCTTTGTAAATATTTTAATTAAATTATAAATTATGCAGATTGCGCGGCCGCCGTTTCACGGAGTGCACTTATTCCTGTCCTTGCAGGACAACTATAAATGCTACCTGCTCGCCTCTAACCAATAATTCATTAACGTATCTCCTGCACGTTTCTGTCTTCTTGCCTTGCTCTATCACAGCGACATCAGGAAACAGACCTCGCCTCGATTCCATATCCTCATCCTTCCGGTTTTCCTTGAATCCATCTACACACAAACATAATAAACACACAAAAACAAAAAAAAATACAATTGTCAATCTTTTTATTGCAACTATATCTTTTATATGTTCATGAATTACATCACGGATTAAAATTTAAGACTTTCTAACAATGATTATTTCATAAAACAAGTTATCTTTATCTTTTCCTTACGTCTGTTCTTTCTAATTATTTTAATAAAAAAAAACTGGACTACATTCCTTATTCAGACTTTGTCTTGGTGTTCGCTATTTCTTTTGCCATGACGTGAGTGTAAAGTCGCGTCCTTTAAGTTTCAACAATTTAGACTGGAATCATAAACTCCTTTCAATTACCATTAGAGAATATTTTTTAACAATGTTTTATGCTTATTGATGTTCGAACAAAGTCCTTTCAACTCTCATGGAACGACTCATAATTACACTTAATTCGAATAACTATAAATTATAATTAGAATTTGTTTGTTTCGTTCATTTGGAAAATTCAGAAAACTTTGACATTTACTAAAACAAAACAAAAGCGTATTTTTGTTTACACAAATGTCAAAATATGAAGATTTACAAAAAAAATACTCTGTTTTTATATACAAATTTAAAAATTTACAAAAAAAAAGAAACGTCAATTTGAGAAACGTCACATTTTAAAGGTTATTGTTACTGATTTTTCAAATATAATAATTTTAAAATACTCAAAATAAAGCATTTTGTTATTGATTTGTCATCAAAATTGTAACAAAAATATCGTTCGGAATGTTCAAGTGAAATTGAAATGTCAAAATGTAATTATTAAGTAATTAAAAAAAAACGAAACAAACAAACTTTTTCTGTAACATAAATAAACCGAGTTGTTCATAATAAAATTGTCCAAACATATTTCATAAATATTTAAAAAAAAAATCTGTGTGTAATATGTTTCAAAATATGTATTATTTTAAGAAATTTGACATTTTATAAATGTCATTCCAATATCAATTGAAATGTCATTTTCTAGTTGACATTTCAATATTAATTAAAATGTCATTTAGAAGATGTCAAAAGGTTATTATCAAAACGTCAAAATTTTAATTCAAATATCAATCATTATATTTCTTCAATTAGTGACGTAGAAAATAATTCTAATTTGACATAACTGTCATTTATCTGTCACATATGTGTCCCAATAGCAATGCAAGTACAAATGAAAATCTGATTACACAACAATCATACTTTATTGTAAACTCGTTAAAAAAAGTTATAGTGAGCTGCAAACGATGTGATGATGGTAGATTGTTGAAACATTGGAATAACCATGGCCAAATTGAAAAAAAAAGTGACTCATTTTAAACGAATGTGAACGCAATGGATTGGCTAATTGCGACTGTAAACAACAACTTCGAGGATCGATTAATTGGAGAAAGAACGCGCGGGAAATTCAAATATTTTTAAGTCCATGTTACGCAAATGCCATGGCACCATGACATTTCTGTGTTGATGTTGTTGCGGTTTTAATGCGTTTTTCCAGCGTTTCGTTTGAGGAGAGAATTTAATGGAAAAAAAAAATGGAGAGAGGAGAAAAGCGAAACAGGTAAACCAGAAGTAACGGAATGTGCAGGGTAATTTGTTTGCGATGGTCTTGAGAGCAAAGGAAGGTAAACCAGGTGCGTGTATGTATTCTTGCATTCATATACTCTTGAGTGTGTGTCTCTTACCTAAGGCTGGCACTTTCCTTCTCTTAGGCCTTGTCCAGATTTCTGTGACTTCCACCAAAGACATATTCCAATACTTGTCGAACGCTGTTAGAAACGCGACACAGTGGCCTCTAATCCCGTGGCCGGACCTCGTCCAAACCTTCGAACAAACGCAGCACAAGTTTACAAGGCGTTATTCATAAATCAACAAAAAAAATCAACAACTACAAAATATATATATTAACAATTCGAATCGATTCTCTTGAAGTCCATAAGGTGCGAACGTATAGGATCGTACATATAGCACTGACCTTGCCATTTTTGCCACATTAAATTATAGAATACATTACGAATGGAACTTTATATACAACAGCAAAAAAAAAATAATCATCGTGCACAACAAAATTATAATAGACAGCAGCAACAGCATTAGATTTATTCTCTGGCAAGGTCGTCCACCTCTCAACGTAATTACACGGACACATTGTGCGCTCGTTCTTTACATATATTATAACAATTTTATTTTATTTATTTTTTTTTTCAATTTATATTTTTATGTAACAAACGATTCATGTGAGCAACAACAACAGCCGTAATCGTTCAATGCCAAAAAAAAATAATAATGCAAAAATTTACACGTTTCTATCAATTTTTTTTTTAATTTCCTGCTCCGATAATCGAGTGTTGACGAAATTTCATTTAAATTAATTGCTCATTATTAATTAATTTTATCTTTTTCTTTACTGTAGAAGTTTCTGCACGATTCGATGCAGTTCCAAGCTTCAAAGTTCCACGCAGATAAAAGCATACGTTTTTATTCTTCACTTGTGTTAAATCATCTTCTTTTAATTAACAATTGCAATTAACAACACAAAAACAATATTTCGATTTACAGTTCCATCATTTCTGATTATTTCTTTCGTTTCTTAATTAAATACGTGATTTTATATTAAACAATAGATTCTGTAATCAGTTTCAAAGTAAAAAATGTCATATTTGACAGATATACAATGTCATTTTTGACAACAAAAGTTCCATTTACAATTTAACGAATCTTTAAATATCTCTGAGATAGTTATTGTACTTATGTATTAAGTTCGATTTACAATTTCATCAGATTTTGATTATTTCTTTAGTTTCTTAATTAAATATGTGTCATATTTGACATAAATACAATGTCAGATTTGACATATGTCATATTTGACATATGTCAAAAACTTATTTTCCATAAACGTCATTTTGACAGAAGTAAATCTTATTTAACATTTTAGATACTGACAACCTTAAGATTTAGTAAAATAAATACTTTTCGTTTAAAACATTCTATTTTTTTGTGTCAAATATTTCATTAAAATTCAGTGGATACCTGAAGAATGTTAACCAGAGTATTAAAAAAAAGTATAAGAAAATGTCAATGTCGAATAAGCAAATAGATAATGATTTACATGCATATATTTCCAAGTATTTAATCTTGAGCATAGCTAATTTTGTATTTAAATCGGGGTAAATTGATCGTTTTTCTTTATTGTTTATTCGAAATTTAAATCCCGTTAAATGTCAATGTCACCACTTTACAGCCGATTCACAGAATTGAACTTGATGTCACCGATTTCGTAACGGTCTCAGGGTGGAATGTTGAATCATAATATTTTTGAAATTTCGATGGAAATGAGCATTTTTCTCGTGAATAGAACAACACAAAAATACGCAAGTATTTAATCGTTGCAAATGTCAATGTCAAATGTCAAAATAAAAGCGATAATTTGTATATATAACTTACAAAAACAATAATGTTTATAATTGTTGAGAAAGTGTTATTAATTAAGATTTGATATTTTGACGTTTACCGAAATTAATGAATAGGTTAGAAACAAAATAAACAAAAGCGATATTGACAACATTGATTCAAAGTGTTAATTAGTAAACTTGATTAATCGTTAATGGAAAACCTACGCTCTACTTCCATTCACTAATTAACCAATTAAGAAACGTTATTTTCGTGCCTTTCGACTGGGAATTTGTTCGAAGCCCACCTTTATTGTTGTTCTTCGCCTCGATGTAAAAGTAGAAGTTGTATTTATTTATGTCCATCGTGTAATTATAATCAACCTTCAATCTCGATTAATAACGATGATGAAATGTGAATCATAGAGGTAGTACTTGGAAAGAGTGCGCTTCCACGTGAAGATCACGTTCGCTTCGGGATGATGATTGGAACCGAAAATTAATCACTTCCGTGTGATTGTCTAGCTGCAGCAGATTCAACATGTTTTCAGAGCGTAATCCATACTGAAACCGGTAAATAATCTAATTCGGATCAAGCCTACCGCTGAAGCGGCTTAATTTGCGATTACAGCGCGATGATAATAATCCAATGGGTATGGTAATAATAGCGCTCATTCGTTGTCGTTAATAAATCTTCAATCTGGATTATGAGACTCGACTATTTACAGCCCCAAACGAATAAACTGTAATCAATGTGATGTAACATATTTTTTTTGGAAATTTTAAAACTTCATTCAAAAATTTTCTACTATTTAAAATTATATATTTAAGTTAACAATTTGATAATTCTTCATCAATATTTACTACGTATTCAAGAATTTAACGAGAATGTGTTGAAAAATGAGTAAATAATGGTGAAAGTGGTTTACGGTGATTTATGGTATACGAACGAGTAGAGAGTTCTTAAAGACACCAGATGGATGAGGATTATATCGATGCTACAACAACATTTTCTAATTTAAAATGCAAATAGACGAAAACAGGAAAAAACGGTTAATTAGAAGAGCTTAAATGTACATAAAAATTTATACGCATACAAATTCAAGATAGAAAAAAAAAGCAACATATATGCAAAAGATTACTATAGAAATCTACGAATTAAAATGAATAGATTTAGTAATTTTGAATGAAAAATATTGGGAAATTTCTCCACTAAATGAAATGTTGGTATATCCAAAGTGTTAAAACATATTATGTAGTGAGACAAATCAAGTTCGCAAAATGAAACAATATTTTCATATTTGTTGTATAATTCCCTTTATATCCTTATATAAACGTTCTAATCTGATATTGAGTATAAATATCTTCAGCTTAAGAAAAAAATGGAAATAAACAAACGTTAAACCAAAAAAAAAATGCATAACTGATGTTCGTAAGAATAAACAAGAAATGAAAGAAAACAAAAAATAAAACTGGGGAATCCTTGTATTTATAGTGGGCTTTGGTTATTACCGCTAAGTCTCCGGAGATCACGTTAATTTATGCTAATAGCGTAATTGAATGCAGGAGAGGAACGTGAGGTAATCCAGTTTTCGAGATTAACGCGCGCCGCCCGATGCTGATGATTAAGTAGCTGGCAAAAGATGGTGAGTGAGAGAGAGAGAGAAAAGGTCGCAGGTCAAGAGCGATGTGATTTATGCTCGTCGGCATAACGTTCGTTACTTAAGATCGTGGTCCACCGAAAGTGGATGAAGAACAACAAGAAGAAAGGAAGAGGAGGAAATAAACTGGTTGAATGAATATGATGCATTAACAAAAATGAACTAAGTGGATATAAGTATTTGGATTAATTTAGTAGAAATACAATTCTCATTAAGATTACCTAAAAATTTAGATTAATATATCATTATCTGGGTTAGGTTAGGTTAGGTTAGGTTAGGTTAGGTTAGGTTAGGTTAGGTTAGGTTAGGTTAGGTTAGGTTAGGTTAGGTTAGGTTAAATCAAATAGGATAAAGCTTAGGTTAAGTTGTGACAATTCATTAAATCAGGTTAGGTTTGGTTGGACTTTGGTATGGTTACGTTTGTTTATATTACCTTAGATACATTTTGTATTCATATAGGTTATGTTAGGTCAAATCAGATAAGTCAAAATTAAGTTATGTCATAATAGCTTAGGTCATGTTAAAGAATCTTAGATTTTATGAAATTAGGTTAGGTTTTCTGAAGTTTTTCTATAGTTATGTTAGCTTATGTTAGGATACCTTATACTTAATTAAGTTAAGGTTAGGTTAGATAAGATTAGCTTAGTTTTTGGTCAAGTTAAGTTTATTTTTTAACAATAGTAAAAATTAAATAAAATACGTTTAAAATAAGTAAAAAAAATAAGTTTCTCCCAAATTAATTTCACGTTTTGTATAATATCCAGTTAGTTTATGATGTAGTCAAGTACATGCACAGAAGCATATATACATTTTTTCTAGACCGGCAAGGTCAGTTTTATTAATAATCCCAAGAGAAAAATATTCCGTTCAAAAGATATTTTTCGGTGGGCTTCGAATTGTACTTCGTGTGAATGTGTGTGTAAATACGGAATAGGTGTTGTGTGTTTATTTATGTGTGTGTTGTAGCCGCGACTTTCGCGGACCTTGCAAATCCGAGGTCCTGGCGAGGTCGCAACGCAAGGTTACCACGCCTAAGAAACCACAACTCCCCAGCATACACACACACTGATACAAACAAAACGAATCAAGGATCTTCGATGAGCGTATCGTACATACATTATCATATCCTTCTTTTATTCTAAATCTTCACGTTCCTCTCTTTCAATCCGCTAAACGGTACAAAAGGGTTTCCAATTCGAGTCCTTCTTCGACCTTCGAAAGTACCGTTTTCCTTGACTCTCTCTCTCATTCTTCCAACCATTCGCATTTACTATTTTTCTCTTCGTCGTCTCGTCTCTCCTATTTACTTTTCAAAGCCCGTCGTTCAAAACAGTTATTATGAGTTACTCTCCGTTTCTTTCGCTCATAACAAACAATCCATTGAATCCTGCGAATCGTAATGATTTCCCCGAAGTGCAACTGCCCACGCCGATGCTTTCACATTTTCCGCTTCCGGAGAATCTCCCCTCTTCCCACACGATATCCTCTCAACCAAAGCCAACCGTTTAGAAATTGATCCGCGTTCACTTTCTTCCCTCGCCAACTGCGACCGTCTAACTAGCATCAACAACAACAACAAGAATAAGCAGTGAAAGTCCAATCATCCAATCCCGTTCGCAAATTCGCACCGCAATTAGCTTTCCGAAAAAAAGAAAAAAACTATAGAAGGAGAGAAAATAAACATAATAAGTCATTATTATAATTTCTTCGTGTACCATTATTATTATTATTGCCATTACATTTCTTCGTTAAAATCGCTGTTCCGGTGCGAAATGAAAGTTTTGCAGTCGGGATTATTCAACGACGGAAACGCGTTTTCTTTCCGTTCATACTGTTGCATGCTGTCGTTTATTATTATTATTATTATTGTTGTTGTTGTAGTTGATAGTAGGAAGCGAATTTCCCTTTCGTTTAATTAATTGACTTATTGTAATAAAGAAAAAGTATTCTCCGCTGGAAGAAAACACTTTCTACACAACAAATTGCATTGCATTAAAATTGTTAATTGGAAATAAACAATTTTACGTAACACACTATAATTCTAATCATTTTCTATACTTGTTCTTTTTTAGAAATATCGTAAGTTATCGTTATTAAATGCTAGGTCAGATTATCAATGTGAAATGATGCGGGGCTTACTTTGATCCTGACACGACGATCCATGCAATCCTTCAGCACTTGCAGAGGTCCGGTGATCTCGTCCATCTTCGTCAACACGTTACCGAGCGGTTTTCTCGGCGCTCTCTCGATTTTTACGGGCACTGAAATATCAATAATAATAAAACAAAAACACACACACACACATTAAGTTTATTATCTCTAAATTGAGAAACGTTTTGCAAACTCATAAAAGCATTAAGTCAATTTGTTTTTCTTTTCAACTCTTTAAACAGCAATCAAAAATTGATGTAAAATATTTATTAACATGAATTGCATGATTTTCATAATCATTGAATGTTATTTTACATTTCCATAAACTTTGGAATATCTTTATCAATTTACAAATTGTAAATGTGTCTTCAACAATAAGCAGTTTCTATATCAATAGCTTTAGGTTAGGTTTCATTTTGCTATGGTTATATTGACTTAAGGATCCATAGCAACCATTAAATATACTTAGTAACTAATCTATTTAACAATAACAAAGAACATCCAAAGGTGTCTTTTAAGATTATATTGTTTTTGGCGAATAAGTTTGGAAATAAGTTGACTTATTGAACACAATAGTAGCATTTCTAAACTAATTTATTCTATACCAGTGTGTATTTCCAAACTAAATTATTGCGTATTTCCAAACTATCTTATAGAATACTATTACAATAAAGTCTATTACATCAACAGTAATTGAATTGGAATCGATGAAATCGAGTAAGAATTTGTAGAAACTGAACGTCGCTTGCTGCTTCTTGTTCTTTGCCCGTTGTCTTTCATCGTTGCGGAATGCGCGTTATTGTTGTCGAGGAGGAAAAAGCAAAAGGAAAATAACAAACAATGATTAATAATAATCACAGTGTAGTTGCATACGGGAGTCCCGGAGTCCCGTTATCGGATTTCCTTTGTGAACAATGCCCACTTTTGTACCTGAATTTCAATGCGTGAAATGCACGAAGACGCAGTCTTTTACTGCTTCGTACTTACGTACGTACGCAGACGTTCGTTGTTACGTGATCGAGTGGGAAATTTCGCCGAAAACGAAACGAATTGACATATACACAACGGACGCATCCGTTTCTGCATGACAATCCGTCACAATTATTAATTACATTATTGCATTAATAATAATAAAGTTTTGATAATTTCATTGTTTTCAAGTTAGTAAACTTTGATGAAGCATTTGAAAATCTAATATCAAAGAATTTTCTTCAATAATTATAGTTCTACAAAATAATAATTTAATGATTGTAAATGAGTATAGTTTTAAAAAAAAAGTCGGAATTCTCCAGGTATCTATACTAGGTACTATTTAATACACTTTTCTTTAAAAAAATTACTATAAAAACAAATACAACATGTTTTTTGCATATCTAAACTCTTTACACTAATATTGAGGTATTTATACTAGCTCCAGTGTAATTTGTTTTTTTTTCTTTAACATTTTACAAAAACAAGCCATTTTACTAAAATATTACATACATTTCTTTACATGATTCAGATCTGTATATTAACTTTGAGAGGTCTACCCCATGCATCTATACTAGGTCCTATGTAATTACTTTTTCTTTAAAGTAATCGAACAACTTAAATAATTTACCAAAATCAAACTTAATTTTATATCGGTATATTACAATTGTAAGGTCTGCCCCAGGTATCTATACTATTTCCAGTGTAATTTATTTTTCAT